CTTTTATTCGAAATGAAGTTCCCCCTAACAATCCTATAAATTTGTTAGTTCATTTAGTTCAGATCATTTATTTATTTTTATTCTATGATTTTTTTCGCTGCTATTCTGTTGAGGCCTCTCGAAACATTTAAATAATTGAAAATTTTTTGTGGAGGTCATTTCTCATCTATTTTTTCTAATGTACATATTATTACTTTTCTACGAGTATTATAGCAATTATTCCATATCTTTGTGAGTAGAAGCAAGAATTTCTGGATCTTATTTTATCATCAGACCATCAGTGTCGGACGTTTGAGGTGAATCTCTCCTTTTTCATACAGAGACGCGAGGTCATTTAGCTTTTTGTAGACATTGTTGTGCCTAGTGGAGTGTAGAAAAAAATGTGTGAATTTTGGCAATGCTTACCTTCGCAGGTTGATGCGAGTAAGGTTCAATATTCGTCCGGCGGTGGCTGTGGTAGATGGCACTGGCATCGAGACCATCAGATCGCCCGAGATGGGGTTGCTCGGTGCCGCCGACTGCCGGTACGTCGATGATGGTGTCATGCCAACCGAGAGCCAACGATGCGAGCTGGCCGACTTACCCCATCGAGAAGGTGTTCCGGTCGCCAGCGAGGTCATACTGAAGGTAGGACTGTGAATGTCGGATGGACTTTTGCCGGCATATCTGAAGTCTGTGTGTTCTGAGACGGATCGGAGACCGGGCGGCACATTTTCCAAGTCGCCAATGTCCTTCTCCCTCCACAGTTTCGTTGGCCTTTCCTCGTCTCCTTCCTCCGCGGCATCCTCCTGCTCTTCTTCTTCTTCTTCTTCTTCTTCTTCATCTTCTTCTTCTTCTTCTTCTTCTACTTCTACTCCTTCTTGTTCTACTACTTTCTGTACATGCATCTTCCTTTCCATCTTTTGCTCTGGTCGCCAAACCAACTTTTTCAGTAGGTTCGATGTTCTCATTTGATCTCTTGCTTCTGTCGTCTGGCGAGATTTCTCTTCAGCACGTTTTAGGTGGCATTTCATCTTCACCTCCATTCGGTTGGGCTCATCGAATACTTCAAATTTCTCCGTTTTCTCAAGTCGAACATCTCTTTCCACTTGAAATTTCCTTCTTTGACTGTGTCTTTCAGTTCTGCATTCACACATTCTCTTAACCTTTGGCTCAAGTTGTTTGCCGTCCCAGTCACAAAAGCATGCTCTTCCCTCCTTCACTTTGCCCAAAAATGCGCCTATACTCTCGCGTCTGGAGCATGCTTTTCTTTCTTCTTTCACTCTCCTCTCTTCCATACTCTCTGCCTTTTGTTGCCTCTTTCCTGACGCTTCCACAAAGTCCCTTTTCACCATGTCAATCTCCGACATTCTTGTCTCTGATACTCTGTTTTCTGGACACTCTGTCTTTCTTGTCTCATCATCTTCGTCTTGTCCGTCTCCTGTTGCGATTATCTCGTCACATGTCGACTCCTCGTAGTCTGCTGAACGTTTTACAGCATGTATTTGCTTTTTCGCCTCAATCTCCTGCAAATCGCGCAGTCTGCTTGGCTCATTTCCGTTGCATTCTCTCGTTGGCTTCAGAAGGGCCTCTAAACTCTCCTCTCTCTTTTTCCGTTGACCATTCGATGACTCCTCCTCCGCTTTAGCACCCTTTTTCTTCTCAAGCCTATTCTCCTCTTCTCCTCTCTCTCGTCTCCGTCTCATCTTCAACACTCCCCCTTCAGGCTCCAGCTTTATGCTGCCCATTCTCTCCTCTTCCCCGCCCCTCATCCAATCCCAGTAGCCCTTCTGTTCACCACTCGCCTTGGCCTCATTTGTTGTCCCAACCTCAACATGGTCACGCTTCACTGCGTACGCCTCTTTCGCCAACCTGTCCTGCCTTGACAACAGAACCATGTCATTCATTGATTGTCCTCTTTCCACGTCGGCCTCGAGGTCAACAGCACCCGAGTCTCTCAAACTTGCCACTTCACCGGATTCAAGGGAATAGATCTCTTTGGCCTGACTCCAACTGGTCTTCAATGAAGTGTCAAGGCTTCTTTCACCGTTCTCCACGAGAATGTCAGCTTGACCGAAATGACGCCGTTGCTCCCCCGTTTGACATGCCAACACCAATTCGTGGGACCGTTTCACCGAGCGAGTGGGCATCTTTCGGTTTAACTCTTTGACTGACCTTCGTTCGGCCAAAATACGGCTTTTGATGCTTGAGACCAGAGACAATCGCCAAATCTGAACCCGTTTGATTTTCTCTTTGTCTTGTGCGTCCAAGGCATGCCGGTTCATCCATTCTTTGATCGCCATTTCCACGTTGGTCTGGCGCTAAAGCAAAGAATTCGCAGAAAATTGAGATAAGTCTTTAGTAAAGTCGATGGATAACAAAAATGGTGTGTCTATTTTCATGGTACTAGCAAAATGTGAGAGGGTCGTAATGGCAATGCTCGTATGCGGATGGCTATGCGTCTTGTAACCGCGTCTGAGGAAAACGTTGAAGACCCTTCACTATCATACCCTGACTTGAGTAGAAAGGAATATGAGAGTTTGGTGTGCAGGCCTTTAAGCCACACTTAGACTGACCGGAAATGAGAGTAGATGAGTTAAGATAAGAAAAGATGAGATGAGATGGGATGAGATGAGAGGATATGAGAGGAGATGAGGTGAGATGAGATAAGATAAGATGAGTGAGATGAGATTAGATGATATTAGATGAAAAAGGTTTAGATGAGTGGAGATAAGAAATTATAAGAGATGTGATGAGATGAGATGAGATGAGATGAGATGAGATTAGATGAGATTAGATCAGATGATATTAGATTTAAAAAATTTTAGATGAGTGGAGATAAGAAATAATGAGATGAGATGAGATGATATGAGTGAAATGAGAGGAGATGAGATTAGATGAGATTATAAAAGATGAGTGAGATGAGATT